GTTCATATGGATCTTTGTCAAACATGGCGTGGCAAGCTTCTCACAATCGAAATTCTATTGGCAGCACCTGTCATACGAGTTCGAGCCTTTTGGCCAATTCTTTTGGCCAATTCTGAACAATCCTATATATCTTCCGCTAGTTCTTGCAACGGACGTCTACATCACGAAAAAGCCTCTAGAAAGCACAAAATGTCTCCTATCGGACCATCCTGCGGCCCCCAGGGACAGGGCAGTTGTGCAGTAATTAGTGATGTTGTCGCAGCACCAGAAGTTTCGACTCGGCACGCCATCAGGTGAATGCAGAGGGGAATTTCGGTGCGTCTTTAGTTGACCATGGTACGTTGTCCAACGTACCATACAGTATGATCGATTCCCATCTTCTGCGGAGTTTTCATTCATGCCAGCGCGGGACCAGGATTCAATAGGTCCGAATGTGAGGAGGACGACGCATTAGAACAACCCAAAATCTACGATTCTCAACCCTCCCCATCCTGCGTCAAAGTAGTGTAGCGACACTACGAAGGTGATACGTGTACTAAAGCCCTCGCCAGCGCGAACTACAAAAATGAATACAATGCACACTCGATGCACCATCAGGCAAGTGGCTGCGATAAACATGTAAGAACCTCGTCGCGGTTCGAATATGCGAAGCGAGTTGGATACGTACTTGAGACTTTTTTCTTGAAAGGATGTGCCACCGTGAGCGACGGCAGACGCGCCCAGGAAATCGCGCACGACTTCTCGTGTATCAATAATGTCCTGATGCGGTGCCTTGGCGAGGAGTGAGCCCCAATTGTGCGTGTCACAATTGGGGCTCACTGGGAAAGCGGCAGGCTGGGCGAAGCCATCATGTCACACCCACGGGTTCGTTTGGAATATCTTATCGCCCACCCTTCCGCATTGACTCGTCGTGTTGCCATTTTGCAATCCACTTTGACATGACCAAGTTCCTCGCGCTCGCTGCCCTGTTCGCGTTTGCCGCCGCCCGACCTGAAATCTTCAACGGCACCATTGTCCCCAAGGGCAAGTACAAGTACGTGGCGACTATCCATGACGAAGAGTCCGGCTTGCTCGTGGGCGGAGCGACCTTGATTGCCCCTAAGGTGCTCCTCACCGCCGCCTCCTGCGCCGAGGAGTGGGCCGACCTCGCGTGGATCGGATCGCACTACTTGAGGGACAACACGGACGGCGAACGCATCAAGGTCGTCAAGAGAATCGTGCACCCTGATTACGATAAAGACACGTCCGAAAACGACGTTGCCATCTTTGTGTTGGAAACCAAATCTAATTTCACCCCCGTCGCGCTCAACCTGAACGACGCTGCAACTGAACCCGGCACCGTGTCGTGGATGCGTGGCTTCGGCATACCAGGTATCTCGATTTCCGAGGATGAACCCCCCGTCCTGATGGAAGCCGAAGTCAAGATCTGGTCCAACGATGAGTGCCGGAAAGCGACGAACAGCGTAATCTTCAAGTCCAATTTATGTGCCTATAGTGCCGACAAGGACCCGTGCTCTTACAACGAAGGCGGACCGTTGATTATCATGCGCGGCGGTGTCGAGTACGTCGCCGGTGTGTTGAGCTTGGGAAAATGCAACCGATTCAAGGAGCCTAGTGTGTACACGCGCGTGTCGTCCGTCTACGACTTCATCAAACCCTTTTTGGCTATCGCCCAGCCAGAAAACTAAGCAACAGGTGGTATCATACAACTCAGTTGTACTGGTCCATAAAGTGACTGCATGTTTATCATCTTCGTTCTCTCGTGTCGTCTCTTGGCAGGTGGTGGGATCATACTGTAGGTGTCGCCTAGTTTTTATTGGCGTCGGTGAAATTCAGCTTGACTAAGTACTATTCGTAATTGAGCTGAACACATACTACTACTGAGCTTTGATTGAGCGTTCGATGATAGGGTATTTCGATGAACTTTGTCCGAGTCCACATGGTCTTCCGCGGCATGATTGGCTAAAAGTCTCATGAGCTGAAGGACGCCGCATGCCAAGCCGATGGTTAGGTGTACATGAGTTTATACTAGTATCAAATGTCGCTGGGTCATACCTCTCGACGGCTGTCGCTCTCGGTGTGGCGTTGCGGACGGCAGGTGCGGTTGGTGGTTGCTGAGGGTCGCTGAAATTCTGGAATGGAGAGGACTAAAACCACCTGGGACAAACTTCCGAAGTGCTTAAGCTGATGAGACTTTTAGCCAATCATGCCGCGGTGGAAGATTTGGATTAATAAAATACAGTACCTTGTGAACATTACACTATTCACAGTCAACTTAACTGGTGTTCTTTCGTTGTCGGCAACAGCATCATAAAATTCGATTTAACATTTGACGCACAGTTTCCAACATACGATGGGCATGTCGCCAAGGTTATCGATATATTGTTTGATATACTCAAGATACATTTACTCGTCGGATCACATGTCCCCTTAACGTTGCGAACGGATCACTCTAGACATGCGTCCCCGAGTATATTGTCGACATGTGTTGGAGCAGCGAACGACCTCGAGTGCCCATCTTGGACTCATCAGCGCCAACTTGTGGACGATCCATGGAGTTATCCGACGTACGATGTGATGCATGTGCTCAGTGCAACCAGCAGTGTGCCCGCTTCACTGCCGTTTATCGTAGTGTCGCCCGTGCCGCGAGTGACTCGTGGGCAAAGAAGGCATTAAAGCGGTTCACCCAAAAAGGACAAGTGCACTTCGTTCACACAAGATGCAGGTACACGAACTACTCGACCGTCGCGTGCATATTCGACGTAGGATTCGGACGCGGCAATGAGCAATACTTTGGGCGGCGCCTGTGTCTATTCGCCGTACTTTTCGAGCATAGCATGCCGTTTTTCCTGTTCCAATTTGAACTACTTCACATCGTACTGCTGGCGAATGAACTCAGCTGCGGAGTTGATTGCGTATGGAGTTTGCCGTCTTGGGTTACGTCCTCCTCGATTGCCTCCCACGCGAACAGCTTCGTATTGGTCAGCTTGATGGCGCCGCCCGCGTGATGGAAATTGTTATCCCCATGAAACATCGCTTCGTTTACACTCAGGTTTGTCGCGCATTGAACGGGTCTTGGTGTCGTAGAACGCCGAGATTGGGTTCAAATTGCGCAAGTACTTGGCTGTGTCCTCTCGGATGCGAAGATTTCGCGCGGTAATCTTCACATAGACCCCACCGACATCACCCTGCCGAGACACTCGCTGCTCCAACGCATGCCGACACTGTACTCGGGCACGCATGTCTAGCTAGAGTCCGGGTGGATCCATTCGCAACGAAAGGGGGACATGAGATCCCACGAGTGTTTCAAACACCAAATCGATTTCCTTGGCGACTAGCTTATCTTATGTTGCAATATGTGCGATAAATCTTAAATGGAAATTTACTACTGTATGCTGTAGTTGCATACTGAGAAGAACAAGAGAGCCAACACACCCCGTCCAGCGGCGACCGCGGCCTGACCGCGCAGTGTTCCACGATCTGTTTAGAAAGCCCCAGAATTCTTCTACGCATATGTCGCAACACTCGATTTC